TTTCCTTGTACCAGCACTAATATATTTATATATATATATATATATATATATATATATATATATATGTGTGTGTGTGTGCATGTGTTCTATTGGTTCAGGAATTATAGCTCTCCAAATTCCCTTTCTTTATTATCTGTAAATTGCTGTGACCTCCTGGGGAGAGATAATGAAGTGGTTTTCGTTGCCTTAACTTCATGGTTTGGAATTCAGAATTTTCTTCTCTTATACTGGTTACCATTCAAGGCTAGAGAGCCTAAACTACTCAACTATTTAACCCACAGCTGGAAAGAGAAGAGAGAGTTTCATACCTTTCCTAAAGTCATTTTCACTATCTGCACCAACAGCCATTGTACTAATCGTACAACAGATTAAATTCTTTGTAAAATAATAAAAATACTGAAGATTGCATTTCTGAGATATTTCACGTCATATTTAATTTGGATAACTATTTTAACATTACCAACAAAAAATAAATAACCAAAAAATTTTAATTAATTTAAAAGATGTGTGTGTGAGATATATATATATATATAACTGTTTCTAATACTGTCTGGTTAGTTCTCCAGTTGTCATTGGGTCAGCAATACACTTACTAATGTTGATATATTAAAATAGGTTTTTGATATCGGCTTTTCTCTCCAGAGCAAACATGCCAGCAAGTTGGGTCTGAATCAATAACTGAACTGACAAAATATTGAAATAAAATTATATATAAATAATAAATAAATGCATTTATTCTATTTAGTTACAGCGGCCATATTTATCTTTCTTGAGCTATCTTGAAATTTTTGTATGAATAAATGCAATTATTTGCTTTAATTCCTTAGTAATGTGTGTGTGTGTGTGTGTGTGTGTGTGTGTGTGTGTGTGTGTGTTTATATTGATGTTCTGTTAAGATATGAAAGATTAGCTTTGGAGAAGAATTTGCAGGCTTTTTCAGAAAATACATTAAATATAATCAAAAACCCCATATTCAGCATTAACAATAAATTTCATTTTTAAAAACCCAAGACACAGATATACTGAGCTGATTTAAAATAAATTTTGCAATGCAAGTTTTTAAAATGTATGTACATAACTTCATTCCAATTTTTTTTTTTGCCACTGAGGCAAAAAAATAATTTCCACTCATAAATCATCTGCTTTTAATGTTTCTAATCCTTCAACTTATCAGCAATGACAAAACAATAGTGCTTGCTCCATACAATCAGCCTAAGAAAAAAGAAAAACAGAAAAAATTGAAGTAAAAATAAATACAAAAAGATAATGAGATTAAAAAGAAATATAATGGCTGGCAGCTCATTCTCAAGTAGGCCCACCTGTTAGGGTGGCTAACTAATCCATGTTGCAGACATCTACTCAGACACATTTGTGTTTCTTCACCACCCAGAGAGTTTATAATGCAACTAAGCCAAGTAGATCCTTCTTGCAGTTTCTGGAAGAGAGCGCATAATCTGGCATAATTAGTACTTGGACAAAGATGGCACACACACCTTCAGTCATGATGACTTGAACCTTTGTGCTAACACAACTATTGACAGCTTTTGAACAGATGCATCTAACCAATTCCACTCACATGGCTCAGGTTGACATGTGATATGGATTTCAGGCACTTCTAAACAGTGCTGTAGATTGTGATTGTCTCCCCTGCTCAGTATTACCAAGAAGCCACTTCCTTGACAAATTGACAATCCTAAGCCTCATGGTTAAAACACTTAGGTTCTGAACACTTAAAGAGAAAAAAAAGACATAGTAAAAAAAAAAAAGTTAAAAAGGATTTACAGTGAACTAAAAATTGTTGCACTTAAAGTGTTCCATACTTTAAAATAAAGCCATTATGGTCTAATAACTAGCATATTGTTGTGTGGATATAAGTCATCAGAACAAACTCTTTACTTTAGTCAAATGACACAAAGATAAAAAGAGATTAAATAAAAAAAAAAAAAAAAAAAAACAAGGAAAAGACAATAGTTTGATAGCATTAAAAAAAAAGTGCGGAGTTGTAACTATTTGATAACTTTGTGATAACCTTAAAAAAAAAAAAAAAAAAATGGCCATGAATTTGCAATAATCTTATAAAATTACTTGGGAAATTTACAATGTTAAGTATTTTTTTTTTTTTTTTGGCTGAATGATTTGAAATTCAATGTTCTCTTCAAGACAGAATCAATTTGAAAGGTGTCCTTCCTAAGAGGAGAAAAAAAAAAGATAGATACTTCAAAGAACTAACCTCCACATTAACTGAGACATTTATCAAGGTTAACTTGGTCTGTCACAATGCTAAATAGACAAGCAGGAGGGCCAAATTGCCTTAAAAAAACAAAACAAAAAAAACAGCATTCCCTCCTGGTTTTTATCTAGATTTGACACTAACAACTGTCTAGAATAAGAAACATGCAACTATCTAACCCACCAAGCAGGCCTGGTATTTACTCAGCTTAATCTTGCATATGTATTGGGCGCCTAGTGAGGATTAAGATACAGAAATATTTTTTCTGTAAAATTAACTTTCTAACAATTATTCCAAAGGGACCAAACCAGTTAATTTGCAGAGTTTTCACTTTTTGGTAAAAAGCCGAGCAGTATTATATATAAAAGTTAGTTTCTTATAATTAAATATCTGTAAATTACCTAAAAGTTCTGTTCAAGAATACACTCAAGATTCTAACTAAATCCAAAAATCACTTTCAAGAAATGACTTCTAGTATTAATTAGTAGTTGGTATTGAGTAGTTAAATTTCTGGCCAGCAGTATTTTTACGATGTTGTATATTTAGAGCATTTCCACTTCATTCACTTTCCCACCATTGTAATGTAGCATCCCTGTGAGTTTTCTATAAATATTTTCATGGTAACCAGACAACCACAGGAATTCTTCCCAGAATACTACAATCTTAACCTCTTCTAAATTAGACTGGCATAAGGCAAGCAGAGGTGATGGGATCTAGCCATCATCCTAAAGAAAGGAGTTCCTGAGCTGGCTCTAATTCTCTCCAAACTCTACAATTATTGTCTCACTGCTTCCTGTTTGTTGAAAGTCCTCCTCTGTAGTTCCTGTTTTTAATAACTCTGGAGAACCTTCTGATACCTCTATCACCCTATTAGTCTCCTACCACTTTTCGGTAAGTATTTGAGGCTTTAATCAATGATTACGTGGTTAAGCATCTTACCTCCCACAACCTAATCTCTGACAAACAATATGGATTCTGCTTTGCCAGATTAACTGCTGAGGTGCTAATGGCCAACGCTGAATATGTATATCAAGCTCTTGATAATAACAGTGAAGCTTGAGCTGTGGCTCTAGATATCTCAAAAGTATTTGACAGAGCTTAGCATGCTGGTCTTTTACGTAAGCTCCAGCGCTATGATATTACTGGTCGAGTGTTTGATTTAATCACATCATTCCTATCAAATCATGAGATGAAGGTTGTTTTGGACAGTCTCACTTCCAGATCCTTTCACAGAAATGAGGGTGTCCCCCAAAGTTCTATCCTGGATCCTATGCTGTTTCTGATCTTTATCAAGCATGTCCATGATGTCATCAGTTTACAAGTAGGCATTTATGCAGATGACACTACCATTTACTCTTGTCCCAATAGCAAATCCATCAAAGTTGATAAAGTCAGCCTGGCCACTGCTCTTGATCAGTGGTTAACTGGGGCAGGAAAAGACTCAAATTTTAATTCCTCCAAAACAAAACTGCTCTCATTTAACCACCATAGAGAAACTTTCCTGCCCACCATCATCATGGCTGTTGCTAGACTCATGGAAAGCAACACATTGCGCCTTCTTGGCCTCAAGTGTCATGAAGTGGAACATTTACATTGAATCAATAGCTGCATCTACTGCAAGGAAAGTCGGGTCACTGTGTCATGCCAGAAGGTTTTTCTTGTCAGAGTTCATCTTGCACATGTACAAATCTACCATTCGTCTGTGCATTGAATGCTGTTGCCATATCTGGTCAGGGGCTCCTGCTACTCATCTCGAGGTTCTGGACAAAATCCAAAGTAGTATCTGCAATGAATCAATCCTGACTTGGTATCTCAATTTCAGTCACTTCCTAACCAGTGTGATATGGCTTCCCTCTGTCTTTTCTACAAATATTTTCATGGCTACTGCTCTGACAAGTTTTTTCCCCTGGTGCCCAGACTACATATGTTTAAACATGCTACTAGATTGGCATCTAGCTTCCACCCTGTTACTGATGAAATAGTTAAATGTAACTGCCACTTTTACTCCAATAGTTTCTTTTCTCACACTTCTTGCTTGTGGAACTGTTTCCTTGCTTCCCTGATAACTACAATCTTCAAGAATTTAAATGCAACATTAATCACCATCTATCTTCTTGAAGCCCATTCATCTTTTACTCTTTCCTTGGTCCCCTCAATACCCAATCTTTTCTCTTTCCTTCACTCTCTGTAACCCTCTGCATACTAGTAGCATTTCCACCTTGCTTGGGGTGAAATGATAAAAAATGTTTAGGAGGTAAACATTTTTTTATCTTCCATATACTCATAATCACTTCCTACTTTTATGTTCATGTTACACACAATTCAATAACCCTCTACTTTGAGTGGCTATTGGGCCCTGTATTAGGTTAACTTTAGTTAAGAATATAAATAAATCAATTTAGAAAATGGGCACATGTTGTGACCTACATGTGAATAGTTCTAAAATATTTCATGCTTGGTTTGCATATATAGTATACAGGACCACTTTTCCCTTTGGTTATTGATTGATTGAATAACCTGAAAAGGGTTGATAAACTGTAAAAAACAGATCAATCAAAGCCAAAAGAACATTTTTAAATTGTAAGAATTTTTTTTTATTGCTAATGATTTAGTTATACAAATCTTACTAATTAACCCATAGTTGTGAGGAGAAGAGGTCGATTCATACCTTTCCCAAAGTCATTTGCATGTAAGTGAATATAACTAACTCATTCAGCTCTCCAGTTAAAAATTCTAAGTCATTATCCATTACACCACCTGCACATCCAAGCTTACACCACCCGATATTTCAAAGCTGTCACCCATCTAGGTATTAAACAGGCTCGATGCTGTTTAACTTCAGTGATCATACGGGAACCAATGTTTCAATATGATATGACTGTAAGCCACGTTTTCCTTTGGGTAAGTAAAATAGCATAGTGGGAGAAACCTGTTAAGTCTAAAAGGCATTACAAATCTTTTAAATAATAAATGGCAAATTCTGTATCCATGTGTCTGAAACTTGGACCACACTTGCTCTACATAGACATACCTTTTTAAAATCAAAAAATGATCTCAGGATTGAAAAATCTGACCATCAACTGGTGCTTGAACATCCAGCATTGAGATTTGTGTCCAGATGAGGAGGGAACAGTTAAAAATTCAAATTTTAAAATAAATGAATCAATTTTATTTCTTTGAAATGCCAAAGAATCAAAGTTAAAGTAAGAGGTTTCATGACATGAGGTTTTGAACTTCCACAGAGTTCATGATTTGAAGAACTCAGTTTTCAGCCTGAAATGGAGTTTTGACACAAATCAGTCTTTTGATCAGAATTACACTTATAGCCCAAATCAGGGTTAAAGTAAGATTTTGAAGTTCCATGGCGTGAATTGAGGAAGCCAAATTTATTTCTCCAAAAATTATCATTGCTGTTTTCTAAGTTCAACCAGAGTTCCCTTTAGTTTGGGGCCAGAGTTCCAATTAGCCCTCCACTATCAAGCAAATAACATGGAATAAAACCTTAAAATTCAATGATCTTCATAGCTATGTTCTATCTCTTCAGCTACACCTTTACTTAAAGATTAAATAAAGGGTTCAATTCAAAATTCCCAGAACAGCAGACACCTGAAGAATGTTTTTTTTTTCATAGTAACACATGAAACTAGGGTCTTTAAAAAAAAAAAAAAAAAAACAACCAGTTCAACTGTAAATGATTATAACTCCATTTTTTTTTCCTTTGTGACAAGGACATTTCCTGCAGAATGATCAATCATGATTACTTAAAATAAAAGTGGATGACAGCAGAGAATATATGAAACAAAGAATTATGAGACAGTATTTTCAATCAAAGTTTTCTCAGACTTGTATCTTCATTTCTAGTATTACTTTTTCTTGTGTATTATAACCAGTGCTGAACCTTCAAATGTAATTTAAATTGCAGAAATTTAATGCAGAATTGGCTTTGGGTGGGGTTAGCATGTGAATGCTGACCTCATTCACCAAATCAATGCCTATAATATCTTAGCCAATGAAAACAAATGTCAAGCAATAATCAATTGTTCTTTAAATCAAATTTACTATGAGTGCCCAAAGAATTTATCAGTTACAAAACGCCATCATAGAATATATATATATATATATATATATATATATATATATATATATATATATATATATATATATATATATATATAAAAAACATTGATGAAACCAACAACAGACAACTTGACAAAACCTGAAAGATAAAGTCTTGAACAAAAACGATAATACTGAAAAAAGAAAAATGGCCTTATATACAACAAAAAAAAAACACATTACCTGCTCAGTAAAGTGCTCAGTAAAGCCTAGATAGAGCAAAATATGTTTAACAATGTTAAATTCTATAAAAGGATGGCCCTTGTTGTGAAGATAGTTTTATGTTCACACAATCTTCAGACAATTTGAACACAAATGAAAGGGAGGACCAAGCTTTATATAACATGACCATAAATCACTCTTTCATCCCTCATTCAAATTTTAAAAGGACTTCAATTCCATTTTTTTTTTAATTATTATTAACTCACACGTGCACCACATTTCCTGCACTTAAACCCAAGTATTGCTTTAGTACTATTTTTGTACTATTTTAATTTTGAACTATGAATCAGCATCTATCCCATGAGCATCTGTATATTTTTTAAATAAATAATAAGCTATATCTTGTGCCTGATGAGTGGGGTAACCAACAAAACTTAAGTCGCACACCAAACATAGGTATATGTGTATTTATTAATATATATTTATTTCTTAGCTCAGTCTAACCACATCAAGCCCTATAATATCTACACCTCTTGGTAAAATTTGGTAATTATTTATTTGCTTACCAGTGTATGCACACCAGCACATGTGCATGCGGTTGCTAATATTTAGTCATTTCATTTACCTAACTCTCATATATATATATATATATATATATACACACACACACACAAATGTAAGTTATCAGTTATCTCCTGTTAATTCCCCTCTCCAAGTTCTCCATTAGACATGGTACGTGGAACTAGAACAGTTTACCCCAGCGAGCAAAATAAAGGGTTCATTTTGGCATTCCAACCACCGGAAGAAGGCCAGAGTGTACATCAGCTAAAACATTGTGAAAAATATGGCAACAAAGATGAGGACAATAGTCTGAATAATGTAAATAATGTACATAATACCTCATCTTAGAAATATAGACAGTTTTTTTTGTTTCATTTTGTCATTCAACATCCACAATAAATTTGTGTATACATGCAGCAATGGCTATGTACATGAGTACCTGCACCAATAGTTTCAGACCATATCACCTGCTAAAGAAATTTGTGTAACCTTAGAGATAATTAACTATGTAAATACAGTACCAAATAATAATTAATAATGATAATTAATAAGTACAAATAAACAGCATTAATTATGCATCCCACCCAGTGTGTTAAGATGGAGAGGAAGAAGCTTTAGATTACAAAAAAGAGTTTTTAAAAGGATAGTTATGGACTAGCCTGCAGGTTGTTAACAATTTAAAAAAAAAAAAAAAAAAAAAAAACGAACTCTGCAGCAGCGGAACACATGCAACTGAGGTCTTTGAAATAAGAAAATTACAACTGGTACCCTGCAGAGAGAAAGAACCTTCCAGAAAATGGCATTATGGGTGGGGTGGATGAAAAGAGATCAATATCTCAGCAGCCCAACAATGTCAGAGTCATTGCACACCTTGACATTAATTACTTCTAATGAAGACTTCAGAGAATTCTGTTCTATCATGAAAAAGAAATTAAATTTCTGCAAACTTGATTAAAAGTAGAATGTGAACACGTAACAAGATTGACTTAACTCAAGTTGTGTTTGCAAAAGAAATTAATTTTATTTGGAGGCAGCTCCCAGTTTTTAATCTTCAAAATGAAACCAATGAAAAAAAAAAAAAGAAGAAGAAGAAGAAGAAATCCATCAGTTTCTTAAAAATTACTTTAGCATATCTAAAAGTATTGGATAAATACAGACATTATTTCTTATTCTAAACATTATTGAAATAAAGTGGAAAATTTACAAAGGGCACATTTCGCTGAGAGTGGATGCTTTCGCTGGCTTCCACAGGTTAGAATGAAAGAAAGAAAAATATGCAAGGAAAAATGCATTTGGATTTATGAGGAAAATTAGGGGCCAAAAATCAAATTAAATTATCTTAACACATCCAATGTCCAGACACAAGAGAGTGTTTTATATACATATATATACACATATCTCTCTCTCTCTACATATATATATATATATATATATATATATATATATATATATATAAAAGAAATTTTGAAAAAAACAAACAAAAAATCCTTAAATGTAGTTAAAAATGAAAGGATTAAGGATGAAAGGATTTAAGGATTTTTGTTTGTTTTTTCAAAATTTTCATTCTGTCGGATTTATATCCATTTACACTTGCTTATATATATATATATATATATATATATATATATATATATAAAATAGAGCCTTTTTTATATACATTTAGAAAAATATAACAAACTGGAAAGTTTTTTGTGACACTTTTCATCCATTACAATTTCATTGGACTGGGCTTTGATGACATTGCCACATCTACACATGTGAAAAAAAAAAAAAAAAATTTCAAAAAATTATTTCAAAAATTTTGAAACTACCTGCATCTCCTGTTTCATCTGCATGTTTAGACTATTTTTGAGATACCCTATTTAAATGCACAGCTCTCATTAGAACCTATTCATGTCTATATCTGCTAATTTTATTTGTATGCCCGAAATCTAAATGTGATTATTCTTAAGCAATTAATTTTTAATCTGACATTATTTCTTATTCTTGTAAATGTTAAATTTGGTGGTTACACATGTTTAAATAGACATCCCTGTTAAAAATAACTGAATAAACAATGAAATTAACATCTACCAGCCTATTTTTTTTATTAACATTTTTGATCTCTAGGCCAGTCAACATTGATTTCACTGTTAAAAAAACAGGAATTTTTATTTACTAACATGTGGCTCATTGGAGTAATGGATAGCAACTCAGATTGAGGAATCTGAGAGTCGAGTTCGAATTCCAGTCGAATCCATTACATTCACTTACGTGCTAATACCCTTGGAAAAGGGTATGAATCCTCTTCTCCTCCCAGGTATGGGTAAATAGCAGGACAGATCGGGTTCTATAGCCTTGGATGGCAACTGGTCTACTGCAGAAAGCAATGGCAACCTACTACAAGAAAAATCTGCCTCGTCAGTCATGTATTGAAAGATACATGATCGCCTAAGCATGTATCACACATGGCATGAACACTGACTGAACATGTGGCTACTCTCTTCACTTGAAGAGTAGCTACATGAAATGGAGTCTATGAGGTGCTTGAGTGATCATGTAGGTATAGCTATCCAGATATGTTCCAAAGTTGTCTATAACAGAGTGGTATTTTGTAATTGTAAGTTATGCAAAATGTTCTATACATGCTCAACGGGACTGATCTGGTGAACATAACGGCAATTGATTCAAAAAGTTCATTTATTTCTCTATTTCCTTTCAGTCACTTTAAAGTCCTTGTTTCAAAAGCCTAGTGTCTTCATTCATAAAAACTAAAAACACTAGACTCAACCCATATAAAATCATTTAGTCCTGTCCCAGTATGTTACACTAATCTCAGAATTTCACAACATTGTTATAGGAGTTAGCCACAATATGTGAAATATTGTGATAAAAACAGCAGAGATGAGAAGATTAGTCCAAATGACTACTGAAATACAGACAGTGACACATCTCAGAATGTCACACAATATTCGTCTCAGGACTTTTTCTTTTTTTTTTAAACTATAAGATATAAACAACTTGGTAGTCAGATAAGGTGAACTTGATAAACGTTGATTTATATT